TTTACACTTATTTGTTCGTATGAAAGGACTGAATGAAGTAGACTCATCCAGTATGTATAGTCTACCAAGAAATATAGTTTTTGTAAATTAAATTTGTTCTGGCAATTTAAAAAAAAATTTTTTTTTTTAATTTTATTTGATTCCAATGCATCTTTCTTGGTATGTAACTTTTTGTCAAAGAATGTATATTAAACCTACCATTTACTAAGAATCTACATTTACCAGTGCTCATTCTCCAGTAGTTAAGAGCTTGAACATCCCTGAGTGGTATGGATGGAAATGAAAAAGATGTCTGTAAGACCAGCCAGTTCTGATTTTAAATTTGTAATTTTAATTGGATATTTTTCTGTGTTTTTAAAGGAATTTTTTAAAACTTGACGGTCATGCAGTCTAAAAAGAAAGGTCAGATTGTCAAATGTTTGTATTCTGGAACACAAGAAGTAAATAAATGGCGGTTCCTGTTTCTGGACAGACTGTGTCCTCTAATAATTTACATAAGATTGCCATCGGATGAAATTCTACAATTAAAATTATATTTTTTTTCTTTAATCACAATTTTTTTATTTGCTTTATATTCTATGATTATTCAATGCTTATATTTTTGATATAAAATTGATAAAATAACCATGTCATTACTTATTTTTTTGAAAATATATTTGAATAATTCATTTTATTATTATTAATTAATTCATATAAGTCATAGTTATTTACAACAGATAAATGCAGATCATTTCACATTTTATACCAAGCTATGATGGATTATGTATTGTCAAGCTATTTATTTATTTATTTATTTTTTTGTAAAATTTAATTTATATAATTAAAAAGTATGATATAAAATATTGTTATATAAGTGTAGGAATTTTCTTAGTTTTGATAAAAAAAAACATACTGAGATGTCATAAATATATTTTATGTCATTTTACTTTAAATTTGACAAATAATAAGCTTTTTTTATATGAAATCATTGTTTTAAAACAAGATAAATACAGTATTTATTTTTATTTATTTTAAAATTACTTATAATAGAGATATCATCAGAAATGCAGTGAATGCAAGTGAACACGATTCTGTAATTTTTGTTGGAACTGGTTGTACCGGTGCAGTTCATAAACTTATCAGTGCATTAAACCTACAAAAATCTCCTGTAAGTATGAAATTAAAAAAAAGATTATAGAAATAATTAAATTACTACATTATATAGTTGTTTTACATATTATTTTTAATAAATGTAAATAAATTATTATTTTTTTTATTTTTTTGAATTTATTATTTATTTTTTTAATGAAAGCTGAATTTACTAAACCTTTGATGAAATTAAGATGCAGATATATTTTAATAAAGGTTTATTAAAATTTAATTTTTCACCTAATGTATTGTATTGTATAATTATTTAAGTAATGTATTGTTTCTATCCATCAGTTCTTAGATTTTGAATTTAACATACATTCAACATAATGTTTATATTTATAAATTTTTAGAGATATTTGTTATTTCAGGAAATATTACATCATTTCTTATAATAAAAATATTTTTAATGTTTTTAATTTTTTACTGATTAAAGAATGCTGTATCTTGCTCTTATACTTCTGCACTTTCACAACAGATTCTATTGAAAACTATTCCATGCCTTCTCTTAAATTTATCCAGACATCGCTACTTGTTTTGAAGTGGTATGTCCTAACTGTTGTCTAAATTTCTTAAACAGGAATAGACTTTCCTCTATGCTCTACAAACCATTTCAGCATCATTTGGATACTTAAATTTATGCTTTATTTTCTGTTTTGTCTGATTCTGTTGTTTGTTAATGCTTCCCAAAATCTTGATTTTCAGATAAGTAGAAAAAGCACGTAATAGAATGTCAAAGTTTCTCACAATTTCTGATTTTTTTTCTTTTTGTATTTCTCCACAGTCTTTGAGATACTGTTTTAGCTAGTGACAAAATCTTTTGTTTTCTTTTGTTTGCCACTTCTATCTACTTTGGAATGAAAATGGTCAATACACTAATTAAGTTGGGAAAAAAATAAAATTTTGGTTAGGAATGTGTTGACTTATACTACTGTATTATTATTGAGAAATAAGTTAAAATAATAATTTTTATATGATAATTAAATTAAAATCAAAATATTTTAAATTTATTAAATCTTTGATGATATATATATATTTTTAATTTTTTTGGTTAGATTGTCTTTGTTGGTCCTTTTGAACATCATTCTAATTTATTACCATGGAGAGAATTAGGAGCACAGGTAATTTTTTTTTTTAATGAAATAGTTGTTTTTATTATTAATTTTTTAAACATTTAAATATAATATAAATAGAATTAACCGTAAGATGAAATTTTGTAGATACTCTTAATTTTTTATAGCATTGCAAATTTAGAAAGTAAATAATATCCTAAATTAATATGTTATGTGGCAAAACAATATTTTTTAAGACTACTATAATATAAATTCAGAAAAATATTAAAATAAATTTTTTGAATTAGAGTTTCCATTCTTCTTAAATGATAGTATATATATCAATAGATTAGATTCACTAATGTTTAATTTTTAAAAATTCAGCTTTTACATCTTGAGTGCAATTTGTAAATGTAAAAGCTGAATTTATAATTGAATATTAATGACGATTATTGGCAGAACTATACTTATTTTTAATAGTTTTTATTTAATTATTTTCTCATAATGTCAGAGGCAATATTTATGAGTGAAAATTCATACAATAAACAAAAATTTATTTTATTAATTTTATGAATTTTACAATTCATATAAAAGAAATTGAAATTATGTAAATGCTAATCAATTTTATATTCTAAGTGAGATTCAAGGAAGAAAATTGATATGTAAAATAACATTATTTGGCATTAATGCAGTGTATTAAATTTAATAACAGAAGTCTAATAAAATATAGGGTATTTTTCAAATAGCTTCAAAAGCAGAAGTCCCAAGGGTGAATGAGCAGACCATTGCATTGAAAAAGACAGATCATCTTTTCATCACCAAATGTGTTAGACAGTACATCTCTCACAATGACTGAAGTGTGGAGTTTTAAAATAAACATAATGTTATTCAAACATCATCTCTGCTGTAGTTTAGGAGTGACAAAAATTTTCAGCACTTTACAGTGATGCTGGTATTGTAACAGTGGCATTGTTTTAGACTCCTAATGGCAAAAATTGTAACTATTCTTGAAACTGTCCATAGTTTTCATGTGTCAAAATAAATGTGCCTACAAAATTTTATTGATCTATCTATCTCTAACAGTTTTGTCTCTAGAGTGGTCTAAAGCAGCAGTTGCCAACCAGTGGTCTGTGAGAAAATTTTGGTGGTCTGTTGAGAAATTTGATCATTGATCAACTCAAGGTTATGCAAAGTATTACAAAAGAAATACAAAATGCTTGGTTGCTTTTTCTCACTCGGGGTTTTTATTCGAATCTAAAACCAATGATGAAATGACTGTTATCAATGAATAATAATGTCAATAAACTAATAAATAATCAACAGTAAATAATGTGAGTGTGGTTGTCATCCTTCATGGAGAAAAGCCAAGAATCCATAAACTTATTTCAAACTAGTAGCAGCAAACTTTACACTTATTTGTTATAATTAAACAAGTGAATTTCATATTAATAAAGTAAAGTAAAGTTTATGAACATATATAGAATAATGTTTGTATCATTTAAAAAATTTATGACAGTGGTCTGCAGGATTCAAAATTGACTTTAAGTTGTACGTAAGGTCAGAAAGGTTGATGATCACTGGTCTAAATGGTATACATAAGTATACCACTTTAGACCACTCTAGAGACAAAACTGTTAAAGATAGATAGATCAATAAAATTTTATATTATGTACATATAGACATTACCATGAAAGACCGAAATTAGAGAATGTCAATATTCTCTGGTGAATGTCAACACATACCAAATATGTTGGTGAAAGATAGAATATTTGGTTATATTATTATATCAATACATTTGAACCATCACCTGTATATGTCAAGAAGCACAGATAAGCTCTGATGGATGTCGAAACAACAAGCCAAGAAGACATAGTCAGAGAGAAGTGACAAAAATGCCAAATCCTCTGCCATTATTGAGGTCATGTAGCATCTGTTTGTTATACTCTTGAACATTCTGCTGTTTGTCAGTCTTCACGATGTTGTGATAAGGAGTTTGGCATTTGCAAAGTCCTTATCACAACATCATATATGGACTACCTCAGGTGGTTAGAGCAAATTGAAATATGCAAAGCCTACAACTCATCATCACCCATCAATTCCAAGGATAAAATCACCTTATCTTTAGCATGGCAAGCCCTATTCGAGAAAGATGATTCAATTTAAATCTGCAACGATGCTTATAATAATTAAGGAATGACAACATGCATTTTTCTCCGACTTCTGACCCGCTAATACGGATTTTATTCGTATAAAAAATACATAATCCATCATTATAAGAAACTGGTCATTACATAATGACTTTAGTTTTGAATCTGGATGGCACGTGATTTCTGTTGGATTTCGAATTTCGATATTTGAAATTCGTTCCAAAAAACAGCTGGTTTTCAATCTAACGGATCATTACAAACAAAACATAGCTTGAAGAAAGACCCAAGAGGGATCTGAAAACGTTAGCATGAACAATTGAACATACTTCACGCCGGTTAAAGGTTTTTTCGGAGGATTATTTGTAAAAATATTTTTATTCAACATTCACCATCAGTGCANGTAGTAGCATGATTTCACATTCATAAAAGTTTTGATCGTTGCTTACAAAAAACTGATCCAAGTGATTTTTGACATTGTCATTTCAAGTAAATGTCTTACAGTTAAAAGAAATTTGTATAGATCAGAACAAGTAATAATCTGAGTGTGCTTGATCTAGTGAATATGGTTGGTATGATAGCAGGAATCGTATTCTGGTCACCGTATTTGGTCTCTCGTTTCTCACAAGCTGGTCGCTGATTGGCTAATCATTTAGATTAGCCAATCAGCGACCGGCTTGTGAGAGACGAGAGACCAGAGACAATGACCAGAATATGGCCCCAGGTCCCATCTAAGTTATAACAGTTTCGGACCAGTTACCAAACTTGTGTGAAATTTGATATTATCATGGTAAAACACTACACCTGTTTTGTTGATCAATTCCGGCTGCCTTTTCTGTTTGATGTTCAATTTGTTTACTCGATGGCAATACACTTTCGAATCAATTGTTAAATTGTCTGGTAAAAGCTCTAAAAGAAAATTTCCTTAAAATCCCACCAAAGAGAGCATCTCTTTTTAAGAACATGTGGAAGCTTATATATCAAGCTTTGAAATGAAACCAATTTGTTTTAAGAAATAATAAACAGTTCAATTTCACAAATTTAATTTCTTTGTGATTTCATGTGTTGTTATTCGGCAGTTTGCTTCAATCAGTACCTTTATTTTGTTTTTATTTGCTTCAACTGGCCATCCAGAATGTGGTGCATCTTCAATATTGAAATTGCCAGAAAGAAATTTTGTAAACCAGTTTTGGCACTGTCTTTCTCTCAACACATCACCTCCATACATGTAGCACAATTTTTTTCTTGCTTGAATAGCATTTTGATTTTTTGGTAATAAAAAAGCAAAATATGCCGAAAATGCTGCTTTTGATCTTCCCTATTTGATGGGACACATTTGCACAAAATCAAAAAATTTTTTACAAATAAGCCTTAAAATGCTAGCTGTTAAAATATATAATGATAATACGGTTTAGAATGAAAATGGCGGGAAAAATATGACTAATCCGTTTAGTGGTTACAAAAACTAACTTACTTTCCTAACAACCTAATAATACATCACTAAAAATCTATACAAAAGTTGAATGTCCTAAAGTTGAGCAATAGAGTTGTATGTTATAATGGAAGTTTTATTACAAGAGAGCTACTGTAAAAAGAATTATAAAATTTCTCATTAAGGTAGAATAAGTTGCCAACTCTCAAAGAGTTGGTTTTGGGAGTTTTTCATTTCAGGAGTAAAAAATTTTGGGAATTTAATGTTTTTTTACTTTTAGCAATGTCAAAACACTGTTGCCTATTCTTCAGTCTCTTTTAATATATAATCTAAAAGATGATCATCTTGTTGAATAAATGTGAGAACAGTCCTTAATTTAGGAATCAAATAATTTAGAAATTTTAGTCAAATTCTGGGAGTCTCCCAGTGAGTCCAGGAGAGTTGGCACCTCTAAGAAAAGTTTTACTTTTTTTAATGACCGTTACAAATACATAAAACATTATTTAAAATGTTAAAACTACATTAAACCAAAAATAATTTTCACAAATGATTCTGATGTTACTGAGTTACTGAAAGTAAAATTTGTAGAAAGCACTATTGCACAATAGCTTGAATTTTCATTTTGCCAACTGAAAATGTGTAAAAGTGTAAATTTGACATACAAAAAATAATTTAAGGAAACCAAAATATTATGTATAAAACAGCAAATTATCTAAAAGTCCAGGATTGCTTGTATTTAATGTATGTGCTAGCTTAGTTTTGAAAGAATAATAAAATATATTTAATCTAAAATTTATTTTATATATACATTTTTTTTGTTTTTTTATGTTATTTTGTTTAATTTACTATCACTAAGTTTTTATTATTACAAAATTGTAATTTATATAGAACATTTCTATATTTGTATTAATATAACTGATTTAAGTGTAGACTAACAGCCTATACGTATAAATCAAAATATTTATTCATGTTAATTTAATAGAAAGCTTTTAAAATTTTATATTTTCCAATGTTAGACTATATCTGGAATAAAACAGCTTTTAAATTTTATTACACTATTGTAGGTTAGTAACCTTTATTTTATTACTACCTCATAGTTTTAAACTCATTAAATTGTTTTTAATTACAGATGTAATGAAAGATAAATTCTAAATTATTACATTTTTATGCAAACTTAAAAAAACTATAGCCTAATATTCAGTTAGTTAAAACCTAAAATCATATCTATCACTAGTAGGCCTATAAGTAATCTGAATTTAGGTGTTCTCTGATTATTTCTTTGTTAGGAAAAACTGATTTATTTATTCTATTAAATAAGATATTCAAATTTTTAATAATTTTAAAATATGCTGAATTATTTATGTATAGTACATGATAAATGCCTTTCATATTCAACCTGATTGACAAAGTTATGTACCCAGATAAAATAATAGTGAGGTTGAGGCCAAAGTTTTAAATGCGAAAACGTGTATGTCGGATGTTCAGCACCACTTTCCTGTAAGCCTAGAAGTTTGACAGTGGTGTTTGGAAAGTCAGAGGAATCATGCTCAACATTCCAAATGCCATCATCAAACTTCTAGGCTTACAGGAAAGTGGTGTTGAACATCCGACATACATGTTTTCACATTTAAAACTTTGGCCTCAACCTCATTAATATATGTAACTAACTTTAAAATTTAAATATCAAATGAACAGCTGGATGCTCTAACAGACTATTTATGGCTCATTAATTATTAAGCAATTTGGCTAGAGATAGGTGGTAAAGTTGCTGTCTCATGTAAAATTTAATAATTAGCCTTAAGTAGCCCAATAAATAATCTGGCTGTTCACATTGAATTGTCTGATTACTGCAAAACTCAGTATATACCCATGTCTCATACAGGTATGTAAATAATGACAGTTGTAGTCTGATTACATGCTGGATAATACTATCAGAATGTCTTAAAATTTCTATCCTAATATCCTATAAAAAGGCTTGCAGATACTCACTGTGTTCAGAATTTTTAGTATATTTTTTATTTGGAGATTTTTGAACAACAGGCATGTCTGTATGATGCAAAGACATTATACACACAGCTGATTGACGTTTAAAAAAGGCTACATTATCAGGCTGAGGGAAGCAGATGGCTAGTTTGCCAAATGAACAAAATGGGAATTTGGAAAATGGCCTTTGACCTGCATCTGGGTTGTTCTGACTGAGTGAGTGTTAGGGCAGAAGATATGTCAGGGTACATATAAACAGTGAACAGGCTGTGGACATCCCAGACAGATCACCAGAAGAGATTGTCTGATCATGAGACAATAAGCTACAGTGGCATCTTTGCCTACCATCCACATACAGCTACATACAGCTATAAGCTTCTCTATAGAACCCTGACTCTTCCCATACCATTGGCAGATGACTAGAGAAAAATTTGCATCCAGAGCAACTATTACATGTTTTGTCATTAGCATCTCACCATTGTTGACTTTGTAGCAGTGATGTCTTTATTTGTTTGCAGTTTGATTTGTAGCAGAGAATCCTTGACTGCTATGGACTGGTAGCAGTCATTTTTAATAACAGAGTCCAGTTCTGTTTGAGAATAGACAACCATCATGTTAGTGTGTGGAGGTTTACTGTGAGTAATTTAATCTTGCTTTTAATGTTCAATGACACACTGTACTTACTGCTCACATGCTGGTCTCTGGAGCCATTTCATATGACAGTTGATCACCCTGGTAATAGTACAGTACAAAGAACATTGATGGAACAGCAGTATGTTTAGGAAATCCTGTATTCTTGTGCATTTCCTTTCATGACAGAACTACAAACATCCATTTTCCAGGAAGATAATGCTCTGCCTCAGACAGCTAGGCTTTCCGAGAAATATCTGTCACATTGATGATCAATTTGCTGACGATCACGCCAAAATATTATATTGTAAAAAAGGGAAGGCACTGAGGTCGGCGTTATGTGTGCGTTTTTTATTCGCTAGTACTTTCGACGAACATATAGCCGTCGTCATCAGGCGAATTATCGAAAGAATTAAACGGAAATAATCCGATTTGGAATAGAACGCTTAAATTTAAGATGAAACTTTAGTAAAAGTCGTTAGGAACACGATAGAAATATTCAAAAATGTTCGAAAAACGAACGAGCAGAAAGCTCCATGATGTGCGAATACGCGCATGCGCAGATCTAGACACACACTGTACGCATTCTGGAGAATGCTAATTTTTACTTAATTGCTTGTATAGTGTGACCCATACACTGGGCAGCTCGAGAGTTGGAATGTTGCACGTGTCCAAGGTGGTAGTAAGAAGAGACTCCCATATAAATACGATTTTTCGATCCTTACAGCTCTTGAGCATAACCGCTTGGGACCATAGCGGGTTGTAACCCTGCTCAAGTACTTTTCTTGCGAGCTCGGTGGTGTGTCTACCCCTCGCAACATCGTTTTGGTGCTCTTCTAGTCGGCTGGCAAGCATTCTAGTAGTGGCCCCGACATATCTTGCATTTACTCCCGTTGTAAGGTTTTCCAGAGGTACAGCATAGACCCCCGACTTCTCAAGCGTGGAAAATTTGTCCCTATCATTACAAATGAGTTTGCGTAGGTTTGGAAGTGGGGTTAGTGGTAGTATAAGGCCGTGCTGCTTAAAGATTCTGCAGATACGTATAGAGAGGGGTCCCAGGTATGGCAACGATGTTTGTACCATTGAAAATTCTCTTTTGCTGCATAATGTGGTACTTGGAAACAGTGATTTCTTTACCATATTGAGCACGTGCGTAAATTTTGCACGTGAAAAGCCAGCAGTGCGTACCCCCAAACTTATGTTGTCTAACTCCATGTTTACCAGCTCTTGCGAAGATGATAGTAAGTAAGCCCTTCTAACGAGAGAGGCAATGGCAGCATTGACATATCGAGAAGGCTGAAA